TCCCTCTCTTTCGCATCTTCTCATCTAGTGGTTAAAAAGCACCAAAAACAGCAACTTTTTGTCAGGACGCATATAAAATCTGTTACCTCACCAACTTTTCCCATTGTATCCTCCTTCAAACTTCAATCGTAGCTTCTCATCAAGTTTTCTCAAACGCAACAAAAAAAAAATTTTTTTTAAAGAAAATACGTGTTTTTCCCCTAGCCTTACTAGTCCCCTTCCTTCCCCCCCTCCCCTCCCCGCAAAATTATCCCACAAGCAACCATATGTCAACAATGTGAAAGCAAGCTTTTGTCAAAACAGAACAAATAAAATTTTTTTTCTTCACTTTTTTCCGCTCTCCCCTCTCACCAGGAGATTTTGCTAAATTCTGCCCCGATTTGCTCATAACTGTTATTGCCAACCCTCAATTCCTTGTCTTTCACAAATTTTTTGCCCCCCACAACTCAAATATTTGTACTGAATTCTGGTGTATGCTGAAAGCAAAAGGGCAAATATTTGATATGTTCAAAATTTCCAAGGGATAACAATAATACACAAAACTAGCATGAGTCACTTGGCAGGTTGTTCTTTGACAACTTTGTAAAGGCCATTTGTGCAGGATAATAAATTCAGCTTCACTTTTCGCTGCAAAAATGCAACGACATCTTCCAACGTTGGTCCTTGTTGTCCCGGGCTCGCAAACATTCTAAACAATCATAAAATTTCACATAATTCATTTGCAATTTATGCAAATTCATACCTTAAAAAATGAAGTTCTTACTGGCAAGGCATGTCTCATCGTGCTTAAAAGATTGTGAATTTATGGAAAAAAATGGCAAAGCCCAACACGCTAAGTATAATCCCTTAGCTAATCCCGCCGTTACACGTAAAAATAACATAAAAATGGTTCTAAATCTGTAAGTAAGGCAGATTTCATACTTGAAAATACTGTGTAGCCGTTCCGCTTTGACCGGCTCCTGATTGGCAATGTAACTTTTCGTATATGTCCAGTACTGTTCCAGAGCATCCACTGCTTCGGTATCCTCGCCTTTTTCTTCATCTGATTCATCCTCCTCCATATCGTACTCTAGCTGTAGACGACTCATTTTCGAACTTCCGGTTGCAAGATGCCATGTTTTAGCTTCCGATTCTCCCTTAAAAATGTCGAAAAAAAATCCAATGTGTCCAACGATATATGAATGATTCGGATTTATCAAACAGTCAGCGGTATATCCCCAGAAAGCAGAAATAAGTTGCGCTTTAATTTGTGATGAATAAATACACCAAAATCATTCCCGTGAGGAAAACTGCAGAAAAATGCAAATCCACCCTATAAGGCGCTAGAACCTGCTTTGAGAAGGTAAAGCCTATTCAGGCAACAGTACCGACTTTGCAGCACAATAGTAATAAAAAGCAACTCTTGGTCGACAAGATATTTAAAAGTAAGGTAGAAAATAAGGAGAAAGAAAGAGAAGAGAAGGAGAAGGAAGTGGAAAAAGGGGATGAAGCAATGGTAACTTTTGAGAAAAGACGGTGTTGCTCAGCAGATGCTACGGACTTCTCAAAATGGCTAAAATCCTATCTTTTGCTTCTGTCTAGAAAATCGTTGCGATGGTAATCCCTACAAGAGATAAAACAAGCAAGTATTAGAAGAAAAGTCTTGCAGAAATGCTCGAAAAAGTTTCGAGGCGATAGGACGAAAAGTTCTGATCATTTAACTAACCAAAGATGAATAGATGAGACCATTGTTCTGCCACCATTCCAATCTTCTTTTGAGAT